AATATCTGCTATGATGGTTGAAAACACTAGTGGCCGACCATCAACTGGCACTAATTAATGATCTTGAGAACTATGCAGACGTGACGCTTCGGTTGCCTCCATCGCTTACGTCATGAGGGTGACATCATAATTGGTCAATGTAATAAATTGAATACTCAGTTCGTTTCTTCTCATTACACTCCAAGAAATGAAGGAACTATATGTATACGGACAAAATCGGGCTTATCCGATTTTACTATTTGATCAAGAAAAGTGAGTTGCATTAGGAGTAGCCTTGTAATGAATCAGACCCGAGCTCGAAGACGAGGCATCGAGTCTAAAGATCAAAGTGTCCATTGAAACCGAGGCCAGCATCAATCGAGATTAAGTATGACCGACTTCGAGTGAAGTACAATAGCGGAAAGGCGAGATATCTATAACCGGTCGAAGCTCACGGCAGAAATCTCGGAACAGATCAAATCAAGGGCGGATATTTATACTAGTCATGAGATTTACTTTCGTATTAGAATTGTACTATAATTAGGATTCCTCTAGTATATAAAGTGGAGTCCCCATCATCTGTAAAACAACTTACATTCATGAACATCAAGGCAATGTAATATTTCTTTCTTCTGCTCATCAACTTAATGCTCTTAAACTGTTCTTGTTTCACTACTCTCGAGGGTTCATCAGCTCGAGGGCATTGTCCAAGTATTGGTTTGTTTTACATTCTTTTCAATTCCTATTATTTATTTCTAAGTTAACCAATTGATATTAAGTGAAATCATATATCCTTAAAAACACATTACAAGTTTAATTGTTACTCGATTAATTAGGTAAACATCTCCTTTAATATACCATGTACCATATTAAAATTGAACCAAAGTCAATTAAAGCGAAATGGCTTCCTGGCCACTTAAACTTGTCGGGTTTTTTAAAGCCGTTGCACAAACTTTGGGTTTTCCCATTTAAACACTCGAACTCATGATTCCCTTAACTAATAAACACATCTGACCCTTGAACCTATGTGCGTGTATTACACTTACACACACGTGTCCATCCAGTCAGCAATTGACCAATCCAAAACTAAGACCCCACCCAACTAATGACATGTGTAATTTTTAAATAAAAATTGTCACCTATATTTATATTTTAAAAATAAAAATAAATACAACAAAAAAGAAAACACTTAAACCCTTCCAGCTTCCTCTTCCCCTTCCCCGTTCTTTCCCATCTCGCGCCCTACCCCCTCCCCCCACACCTGCAACTCTTTCTTCTACTTCCATATTAGCACTCCCTTCCTAGGTTCTTCTTCGTCGTCTCCTTTCCCTATTTTTTTCTAGCTAGGTAGATTGCCGGAGAAATTTTCCGATCAACACTGTCACATAATTTGTTTTCTTTAAAGTTGTGACAATTAGTTTGTTGTAATGGCCAATTGGCGTGACCTCCTCAGCAGCAGGAATCGATTGGCATTGCTCTTGGGCGATTTGGACCACTGGAATGCCATCTCCGACCAACTGGAGCCACCGGAGAGTTGCAGCGAAATGAACAAGGCGAATGCCATCTCCGACCCAGAATTGAAGAATGCCATCTCCGACCCAGAATTGAACAAGGCGAAATGATTATTTTGAGTTACTAGTGCTTAATTAGCAACAAATCACGAAAAAACAAGGCGAAATGATTATTTTGAGTTAGCAGTGAGCCCGCAAAGACCGCTGAGAAATTGCTATTGGCGGCTAGACATAGTCGACATCTTACTGAACAGTTCAAAACTATGGTGGATGTGATGATTGGTACAATTAAAGGTTTGCAGGTTAAATTGGAAGAAAGCAATAATACTTGTGTGAAAGTCCTGGAAGAAAAGGAGATTCACCAAGAGAGGATCTCCCAACTGGAGACTGATCTAGAAGCGTCAAATGATCTTTGCAATGAGATGAAGCTTAAGTTAGAGGATTATCAGGCAAAAAAGGATAATATCAGGGAGAAAGAAGCTGAAGTTTTGTCTCTTAATTCTAAAAATGGAGGAAGGGGGTATTTTAGAAGGAATGAATAAGAACACAATTAAACATAACCCATTTTGTACTGTTGAGCGTTGGGAAAGGGGGTTTTCACGCTCCAGTGCGTCGTGTTCCTCACGCAGGCTACTGATTAAGACCGACTAACGCCACATAGGCATGATCAATGGTCAAATGTATTTATTAGTTAAGGGAATCATGAGTTCGACTGTTCAAATAGGAAAACTCAAAGTTTGTATATCGGCTTTAAAAAACCCGACAAGTTTAAGTGGCCAGGAAGCCATTTCGCCTCAATTAAACTATTCAAACAATTCGAATAGAATGTAAATTGAGTTTCCCCACACACATTGTCGGGCATATCGGTATAAGATGAATTTTAATTTGAGTAAGTTTAGAGCGACGATTTTATGTTTAATCTTTAAAATTTAGAACAACAATTGACGTGAATTAACTTTGACTCTCTATTTTGTATTCGAACAATATCTACTGCAAGTTGCACAAATCTTGATCAAGAATAAGACTAGATTTTCAACCCAACATGACAAATTGGAATTTGGATTAGATTTTCTTTGGTATATATTCTAATATTATCTCTATGTTCTTACTTAGAAAATTATGTGTATGTGAACATGAAGTATAAATTACATTCTTGACAATTATCTTTATCACTTTCGTTTCTTTTCTTTCCCCTTGTTATTTTTGTATTGGTCTAAATTTAACGGTTTGGTAATAGCAAATAAACGAGATTAAGGACGAGGTCAACTACGATATAATAATGGGAAGCCATCCTCGAGAGGGCTTTTGTGAAGGACAAGTAGTTTGAAGTGAATGAATAACGGTAGGATAGGTTCAAATATGCATACAAGGAATATTCCTTTGGATATTCTTTGTTTTGTACTTTTTAGGGTTCCTTGGAGATATCCCTTATAAATAGGAAGAGATAGAGAATAAGAGGGAGATCTTCACTTTCTGAGAAAAATACAATGTAAAAGGTTGACTCAAGAGAATATATGAAAAATTGTCTTGTTCATTGATTATATTATTCAAGAGCACGTTACTCGATCTTGACCACAAGATCCAAAGATTTCATAACCATCTTCATTTCTCTTCTTTCCACGTTGCTGTCAGGGGAAGGAACCATCCAAATCATTCAATAATTGGGTAGTAGATTCCTTTTTGCTACATTTATTGCCATCTTCTACATTTATTGTATATTTATGTTATCATATTACTAGCATTCATTGAATATAAACATGCTCTTTAATGCTATCAAACGTCGTTCACTACATCAATTCCTTAACACATTTGATCTAGAATTTATTATCCTTAACTAAGATTCATCCTATATCTCATCAGTAATTGGTTTAACTAAAAGGTTCAATACTTTTTTGTCAAACAATTTGGCGCCGTCTGTGGGGAGTTTTTTAGTTAAAATTTTAGTTTTTTCTAGATCATAAAAAAGGAACAGTCATCTTTTCCTCGTCTGCAAAAACTAATAATGGCAAGGAAAGGAGATGAAAAACAGAAAGCAATAGTGGGTGTCACTACCAATATCTTAAACACCATCAACGAGGATGGCAGATAAGACGATGAGAACATAACACCAAATGTCACACCCCGGTGGAGTGATTCACCTCCCCCTCACACAAGTGTAACCGCTTCACGCGAGAGGGGAGCTTCCAAATACACAGTTGAGGAAGCACCACCAGCAGTGAAGAAATTATTGGAGGAGTGCCTGATAAGTACCCTAAATGACATACTCGATAAACCTATTCAAAAGGTAAACAGAAATGTCGTGCCAGCTGATACCACGACGACTACCAGTGAACAGCCTGCTCCCCCAACAGGTAACACTCACACCATTGTTGATGCAGGTAATGATGCACTGACAACCATTCAAAAGAAAATGGAGGAAATGAAAAACAAAAATAAAACACTCCGCGACCAGATGAGAGAACATCAAAAAAGGGTAAATAAGATATCGGGCACCCCGAAGCTGCTACCAAAGCGGGATGTCGGCCGATTCGTTGAACAACTGTATAGCGAGGATGAAGCCCCACATGCCATACCCAAAACCTTCAATATGCCACCTTATTTGAAGATATATGATGGCACCACAGATCCGGAATATCACATCATTCACTACGTCACAGCTGTAAAGGGCAACGACCTATCAAAGGAGCAAGTACCATCAGTACTACTAAAGAAGTTTGGCGAAACCTTAACCGGAGGAGCCTTAACTTGGTACTCACAACTACCAGCACGGTCTATAACAAAGTTAGAGGAAATGGCCAACAAGTTTGTCACTGGCCATGTCGGAGCTAAGAAAGCAGAGGCCATGGTGAACGACATATTCGTCATTAGACAATCGCCTGACGAGGGACACAGAGACTTCCTCACTCGGTTTAACAGGGTAATAATAAGCTTACAACACGTATCGGAAGGGATGGCGGTAGCAACCTTCCAAAACGGATTGAACAGGAATGGGTCGAGGGCGACCAAGAAGTTGTTAAGAAGGCTTATGAAATATCCCCCATCAATTGGGAAGAAATTTACAACGCTTACTGCATGGAGGTAAGAGAAGACGATGACGACCTTAACGGTCCGAGCCAACATTTGACGTCGATCCAAACAGAGCCGAGGAAATATCGTCGTAATGACAATCGAAGAGACCAGTCAGCCCCACACCTCAACCGAGATAGGCATCAACCCTATGTCAGAACAACCATTCTGCCATCCCCTCGACTTACGGAAGGGCTGTCCAGGCCGCACACATGGACTCAGCGAAACGAAAGAGGTATGCCTCCACTCTTATCTGCTCACAATTTTTGTGTTTCTCCTTCAGAAATAGTGTACGCACTAGAGAAGCTTGGTACGAAGGTGAAGTGGCTGCAAAAAATGAAATCCAACCCAAGTACCCGAAAGTCGAACGTCCTTTGTGAATTTCACTAGGAGCAGGGTAACAAAACTGAGGACTACATAGCCCTACGGTAGGAAGTAGTGAACATGCTGAACCAAGGGCACCGGAAGGAGCTGATGAGTGATCGAGGACGAGCCAACTTTGGATGCGGACAAGAACAACACCAAGGCCCTCCAAAGCTGCCCTCTCCCACCCGCACCATTCAAATGATCATCGGTAGAGGTGATGAAGCAGCAATGAACCACATAAAATTTACCACCACACACAAGCTAAAGCGGTCAATCACCCACGATCGGTATGATGACTTCGGAGAAAGTATCATATTCGATAAGTCAGATACCAATGGTTTAATTTTTTCTCACTCCGATGCTCTTGTCATTACTTTACGTATTTCAGATACTGGTGTTAAAAGAATAATGGTAGACAACGAAAGTGGCGCGTGTATTATTCACCCTCGAGTGCTTGCACAAATGCGACTCGAGGATAAGATAGCACCGCGTTGCATAACACTAACAAGATTTAACAATGTAGTCGAACGAACCTCAAGAGAAATAGCACCGCCCGTTCTGGCCGGAGGCGTCACCTTAGAAACAACGTTCCATGTCATGAACCAGGACACAACTTACAATGCAATTATAGGACGACCATGGATATACGCCATGAGGGATATCCCGTCCAGTTGGTATAAAGTAATCAAAATCCCTACCCCATGGGGCATATTCAGCATCCGAGTCGAACAACGCACGGCCCAAAAATGCTACCTCATCGCCCAAGATTGCACATTTACTCAACAGCTGAAAGGAACAAACTCAGAAGCATATCAATTATCAAAATCGGGGTCCAGACTCAACGATCATATGGACGTTATCAACGATCAGATAGACATTAGCCGCCCTGTCAAGGTTCATATCGCAATCTTCCGACAGATGCCACAAATTCTTTAACGTGCTCAAAAAGGACATCGGGCTCCAATGGAATGCAGAATGCACCGAAGCCTTAAGAGAACTAAAGGTTTACTTGCCATCTCCCCCGCTACTTGACAAAGCATAACTCGGTAAGCGTCTCCTTATATATTTGGCCATATCAGAGGTTGCGGTAAGTGCAATATTGGTCCGTGAAGATAAAGGTATGCAGTCTCCGATCTATTATATTAGCAAAACCCTCTTCGATGCCAAAACGAGGTACCCTCACCTCGAGAAATTGGCCTTGGCATTGGTCATAGCTTCACGAAAGCTTAGACCCTATTTTTAATGCCACCCCATATCGATGGTGACGACCTTTCCCCTGCGAGGTATCCTACATAAACCCGAGCTATCAGGAAGATTGTCCAAATGGGCCATAGAATGGAGTGAGCATGATATAACATATCAGCCGCGAATAGCGATAAAATTGCAAGTACTCGCCGTCTTTGTCGCCAATTTTAGTGCCAAAATAGTAACCGAGGTCGAAAAAGAAATTTCTTGTACCTTGTCTGGTCTACCCGACCTATGGGTCCTATACACCGATGGCGTATCCAACGCGTCAGGATCTGGACTGGGATTCGTACTCGAAGTCCTAACAGGCGAAGTCATTCACCAATCTATACAGTGCCCTGATATGACTAACAAAGAGGCTGAGTATGAGGCTGTAATTGCAGGATTAAAGTCAGCTCTCAAATATGGAGCACGATGAGTTGTCCTTAGATACGACTCGCAACTAGTTGTCAACCAAGTCACAGGGACTTTGAAAATCAAAGAATAGAGGCTATAAAAGTACCAGGTAGAAATTCATAAACTGCTACTAGAGTTCGGAGAATGTCAACTCGATCAGATACTTCGAGCATAAAACATAGAGCAGACGGTCTCGTCAAGTTAGCGGCGAACACCAAAAATATCACGAAAGAAAACGTGGTCACCCTCCTACACTCATCAATAGACCAACTCGAGGTACACTCTGTAAATTTGACTTGGGACTGGCTCAACCGTATTATAACATATTTGTAGGAAGGAGTACTCCCAGCAGACAAAAAGGAAGCCAAAAGGCTTCGAATGCAGGCAGCCAAGTACAATATCATAAATCATGACCTACGCAAAAGAACATTTGGAGGCCCCTTGGAGAAATGCCTAGGGCCGAATCAAACAAGACGCATGCTCGAGGAAGTACATGAAGGACGCTGCGGTGCCCATACCGGCAACCGGGCCCTCGTCAGATGCCTCATTCGAGCAGGTTATTATTCGCCCACAATGAAAAAGGAAGCCACCAATTACGTTAAGAAGTTTGAATAGTGCCAAAAGTATGCACCTATGATACATCAAGCAGGCGAACACCTCCACTCTGTTACTTCGCCATGGCCATTCATCAAATAGGGAATGGACATTGTCGGACCCCTCCCAGCAGGGTGAGGTAATGTACGTTTTCTTTTGGTTTTAATTGACTACTTTTCCAAATGGGTAGAAGCAGGTGCGTTCACCCAAATACGCGAACAGGAAGTCATCACATTCATATGGAGAAACATCATATGTCGCTTCAGCATCCTCAAAGAAATTAGCTGTGACAATGGGCCCCAATTCACCGGAAAGAAGACCGCCGAGTTCTTCGAAAAATGGCACATCAAGCGAATACTCTCCACCCTATATCACCCTATCGATAATGGTCAAGCAGAATCCTCCAACAAAACGATATTGAACATCTTGAAGAAAAAGCTCGATTTCGCCAAAGGACTATGGCTGGAATTGCTAGCAGAGGTACTATGGGCCTACCCCACCACGCCAAAAACAAGCATAGGCGAAATGCCATATTCACTAGTCTACGGGACTAACGCCATGATACCAGTCGAGGTCGGGTAACCCAGCCTGAGATACTCTAATGAAAGCGGACAAAATAATGATGAGAACAGAAAACAAGACCTCGATGAGGCAGAGGAGCGAAGAGACATGGCTTACATAAGAATGGTAGCCCAAAAACAACAAGCATAAATGTAGTACAAGGCCACTCAAAGTCGAAGACTATGTGCTCAAAGCCATAACACAAGCGAGCTAAGATTCGAGAGAGGGCAAACTAGGAACCAATTGGGACAGACCATACAAAATTACGGCAGCAGTAAACAAAGAATCATTCCAACTAGAAACAATGGAGGGAAAGCTACTACAAAACAATTGGAACATCACCCATCTCAAATACTTCAACTTCTAAAAATAGATGCCCTCCACATCATACTCTTTTCCCTCACCCGTGTTTTGTCCCAATTGGGTTTTCTCGGGGAGGTTTTTAATGAGGCGACAAAGGGGACGTCTCGAAGTTCAAGTATAATTCATCACCCTGCCTGCCGACTACTTCTTCAGGTCGAACGATGAAGGGACTGGATATATGGAAACTTCTCCAATATTTGCATGAAACAAATGACACAAGTAATATTCTCCAATAAAATAAAGCAGCATTTTTACTCTCCACCAAGTCTTCTCACACTTTACATTCGACCTTGATTGAATTATTTTACATTCGACCTCGCTCAAATTACGTTACATTCGACCTCGCTCGAATTACGTTACATTCGACCTCGTTGGAATTACGTTACATTCGACTTCGCTCGAATTTTGCATTCGACCCTGCTCGAATTATTTTACATTCGACCTCGCTTGAATTATGTTATACTCGACCTCACTCGAATTATGTTATATTCGACCTCGTTCGAAATCTTCAATGTTCGACCGCGTCGAATGTCGATACAATAAAAAAACCAGGGGCCTCCCCACATAGCAAAAAAAAGAGCACAAATCAAGAAATACGTAGCAAAAAGGAAGTTGTTCCATTACAACTATCAAATTACAATACTTTTTACAAAGGGCCCCAAAGACGCCCTCACAAAAATAGAAAAACAAAACAAAAACTAAGTATGGAGGCCTTATGCCATGTCATCCCTATCGACATATTCATCATCATACCAAGAATCGAAGGCAAGCCTATCCGCATCATCATCAACATCATCCCCACTAGGTGTATCAGAGGCATAACCACAAGCTTTACGAGCTGTACGTGCCTTAATAGAGACGCCCTCGAGTTCTACTCTGGAAATTTTCCCGTCGACTTTCAACGACTTATACACATCAAGCTGAGCCTCGGCGTGAACCCACATCTCATACAACTCCCGCAGCACGCCGGGATCGGCGGAAGTATGAGACGTGGACGACTGTGACTGCCGTCGCTCCTCCTCAGCCTTTAAGGTAACGATCTGCTCGTTCAATCCGGATAACTCTGCCTCCAGATTCTGGATCCTCTCCTCTAACCTCGCCATCATAAGCGCCGAAGTCTCTACCTCATTCTCCCCCTCGGACCTACAAACGTGAAGGGTATCCTCTAATGCTGCCGCTTAGCCACAGAGGCCACTCTGCCTCTCTCATCACGAGCCAATTCTTCGACCTTGGCGCCCAACTCGCCCCACATATCAACAGTCTTCGCCTCCCTCTGCCCAAGCTCAACAGTTAAAGATGCAACCCATATTTGAAGATCGACATTCTCTGCCTCGCCCCCTTTATCACCTCAAGCTCGTCATCCTTGGCCTTTAAAGCTGCCTCGAGAGGGCTATTGTCAAGGACGAGCAGTTTGAAGTGAAGGAATAATGGTAGGATAGGTTCAAATATGAATACAAGGAATATTCCTTTGGATATTCTTTGTTTTGTACTTTTTGGGTTCCTTGGAGATATCCCTTATAAATAAGAAGAGATCGAGAATAACATGGGGATCTTTAATTTCTGAGAAAAATACATTGTAAAAGGTTGACTCAAGAGAATATACAAAAAGTTGTATTGTCCATTGATTATATTATTCAAGTGCACGTTACTCAATCTTGACCACAAGATCCAAAGATTCCATAACCATCTTCATTTCTCTTCTTTCCACGTCGCTGTCAGGGGAAGGAACCATCCAAATCATACAATAATTGGCTAGTGGATTCCTTCTTGCTACATTTATTGTCATCTTCTACATTTATTGCATATTTATGTTATCAAATTACTAGCATTCATTGAATATAAACGTGCTCTTTAACGCTATCAAACATCGTTCACTACATCGATTCCTTAACACATTTGATCTAGAATTTATTATCCTTAATTAAGATTCATCCTATATCTCATTAGTAATTGGTTTAACTAAAAGGTTCAACACTTCTTTTGGTCAAACAATTTTCTTTCAAATGGTTATTGTATGGGTCAAAATCTAACCAAGCAAGAATCTACGTGAAGAGGGATGGCAGCGCCATTTGGGCCGAAGTCATATTCGTGCCACACTACAACGACGAGCACCTCGGTTAAGGCCGAGGTCATGTATTTAGAATGCTTGAATGATGAATTTGATGTTACGGCATTTCAGAGGGTCATTCGGTAATATAATCCAATGGCTTATGTACTATGGGTAACGACCGTTGGGTAAATAAGGATATCTAGTATATAATCTAAGTGAGAAGAAGGAAAAGGGGGCCTGAAAAAACAAAACCGCACAGAGAGAGACAATTTCTCAAAGAGAAAGAAGGATCCTCATCTCTTTTTCCTTGCTAAGGAGAAAGGAGAGAGGAAGATCAGATCCTCAACATACATCATTAGTTTCTTCATATCAAATGTATGGGGATCAACTCCGTTCAAAAACGATCCTCAACTTACATCATTAGTCTCTTCATATCAAATGTATGAGGGTCAACCTCATTCAAGAATGGTGACCCTTTTTATCTATGTATTCTTCATTATCATTCGATATTATGAAAATCACCATCCTTTTCTTATATTACGAGATTCAATTATTGCTATGATTAAATTTCATATTTAGATATGCTCGTTCTTGTCTTCTATCTCAGATCTAGGATAAATTATCTTTGACTAGGATTTACCTCACTTGTTCTTATTTAATTAGTTTACAAAAAGACTTAATACTTTTTGGTCAAACAATTTGGCGCCGTCTGTGGGGGCTTTCTAGC